CATCTTCATATCTTCATGACATCAACATAAATAAAATTAGCTAACACAAATACATAAAACGAACATGCTACCCGCATGTACTATGTTAAATGCTAAATACAAAATCTTTCCTACCTTTGCTAAGTTTGTAACATCATTTTCGATATTTGAAACAATGTCAAGAATTACATTTAAATTGTTATTCTTGACATTTATAAAATGTCGAGAATGATATGTCGGTAAAACACTTCATACAGGCACTGAAAGCAAATGAAATTGAAATGTGAGATTGCTTTTCGCTGCACTAACAGTCCAAATTCTGGCAGCAAGGTGGAGATTGTTGGGGTTGAACCTTGGTTCTCTCATTTTGGTGCTCCCAGAATTTGTGATGGTTAAAATCATGTTTTAGTGAAACATGCCTTTTTTAGTTAAAACGCTTTTCTGGAGGGATGACACATGTGATATTCCTAGCCGTTGGATGAAGTGGATCTAGAATGATCCTTGGCTTTCTTGAGACGATTCATTTGGACTTGGACATTTAGTTTTCTCATTCGTCTCATTCATCTGGCTCTTAGGGTTCTTGAGAGAAAAGGGAAAAATGCCAAGGTTAGTTCTATCAATGTGATTTCTACTTAAAATTTCTAATTTTAAGTTGAGAGTGATAGCATAATCCTTCGATTGTGTAATATTCTGTGTGAATATTGGGAAAATCTGTGTGATTCTATCGTTGTTGGTTTTTGTCCTGTTCGAACTGGTTTTTTGAAGATTTTTGGGTGAATCTTTGAGTGTTGTCACTGTATTTTGAGAGAGAAGCGTTTTGTTCTTCATCTATCTAAATATTTGTAATTTTATTGTCATTTTGGATGCTCAACGGAGAGATGTATGTGTTAGAAGTGGTCACTGAACCTCCAAGGCTTAGGCGGAAAAAAATCTTTGGTGTTCAACTTTAATTTTCTGTAGTTTATATTCTATTTCGTCAAGTTAGTTTTATTTCTTGACGCTTATATCGTGTGATCCTGGCTTTTCACTTCCTTCAACGTTTGTGGTTTAAATGTTCGAATGCCATTAGCTATCTCCAATTTGAGTCCACCCATGAAGGTTTCTACTAACGCCTTTTGTGTTTGGCCGTGAACTCGGTTGCCCCGATTTTGAAACACCTTTTGATAATCGTGAAGGTAACAGACGTATCTTACTCTAAACAAGGCCCTTGTTTGAGCCCAATTTTTACACAATATGGGACTTTGTTATAGTAATTTTTTAGAAAATGTGGTTAAAAAGGAGGGAATTTTTTTTAATTTGTTGAAGGAGAAAGATCGAATCTCAGGCGAAAGGGTACTAATTAAGCCGACCATTAATGACTAGTTCATGTGAAAATTATTTTATTGAAAATATGTAGTTAAAAATGAATTTTTGAATAATAAGGCTCAAACGGGGATAAAGCTTCATCAAAATCTTCACTCTGTCGAACCAAATAAGCCCACACTTCCTCTTTGTAAACTTTTCACCATGCATTCTTCCTTATAAGCTTGCCACTGCCACCATTGGTTGACCTTTCCCTCAAGGTGGAAGTCATCTATTGTGTCTTAGTACTCGAAGAATTGTGTTGTCCGACTAAACCACTTGATTAGGTCATCTGAGTAACGTGGAAACTCTAATTTTGCCATTTTGGATGAAAAATTTCAGGCTCCTTATAGTTAGAACATGAAGAGCTAATTCGATCATGAGTGCTGTGACTTGATGCTCCTTTGGTTGCAATAATTATTTGGAACAACTTGTTGAGTGTTTTTTCAAAACGTTGCAGCTTATTAGCCACTCCTAGCTTAATTCGATGAATGGCATCTTGTAAATTGCCAAGCCTAGCTTCCAGAATTTCAATTCTTCCTTTGTTCGTCTCCATCACCAACCCTGCTCTGATATAAATGATAGGTCCTAGTGAGGCGGAGGTAGGAAGGGCAGGTCTGGGCCAAGCCCAATAAATTTTCAAGAGGAAAAAAAATTGGGAAGAATTCATAACAAAGAGATTAAGTATCATACATTTCAAAACTAAGAATACATGTTTTAAATTAAAAAAATCATATATTTATTAAAATTCATTTATGATTTAATTAATTAAATATATTAATGTCACAAATCTATACAATTTGGTCACATATTAAAGATTTAGATAGTTACATATTATTTTTCGATTACAAATCAAAAATTTTATGTCACGAATTATTTTATGGTCACAATTCAAAAATTTTATAGATCACAATTTGTTCATCGGTCACAAAAGTCACAATTTACTTATCGATTACAAATTACAACTATTATAAGTTTCAAGTTATAAAATTATCGTCACAAATTAACAATTTTTTGAGTCGCACATTATTTCTTGGTACAATTTATCTTTTTCATCGATCACAAATTGTTTATTTGTCACAAATTAACCAATTCAATTATCATAGTCAATCAAATAATTTATGATCACCACCAATACTTGTGACTACCATCTCACCATTGCTATCAGCAACAGCATCACCACCATCGTTGTTAGAACCACCATCACTATCTCAAACAAATCAACGAATCATAGAAAACAACATCACATCACCGTGCCAAATCCACTATCATGAATAAAAGTTTATTATAGTCACCGCCACGACCACAAATCGGAACCAATTCGCCTTGGCCGCCGCCACCACCACCTGAACAAAAAATCGGTGATTTCAGCCCCCGCCACTACCACTTCCACTAGCACACCACCAACAGTCCCCCATCTCTACCACACCACACCACCAAGACCAACGGAAAATTCCCAAACCTACCACCACCACCAACACTACTATCGTCACTAATCCACAACCACAACCACAGTTATCCATCTCGCCAGAACCATCACCACCACCCAGTAGCAAAACCATTATCTCAACCACCATTGCAACCAACATCCACCACCTGATCCAACATATCTCCGCCACCGTTGGATCCAACAAAGCCATTGCCACCCAAACATTACAACCACAAGCACCACCACCACCACAGTCCCGACTCACCAACTAAAAACACACCCAAAAACCCACATCAAATTGTGGAGCTGTAGATCCTGGCCACGATGCACAGCAAATCTCGACCACGTTATGCAACAGGGCTAAATCGACAATACAACATGCCGTGATGCGGAGCGAGGCATCGCTGCGCGCAACCATCATTAGAACTAGAATGCTACTAGTTGTGTGCGGTCATGTCAGCGACGTCATGCGTGACGCTTGCATCCTATGGTCTGTGTGTGGATTGCCTTCGCCTGTGGTAGTTGTTTGGGCTCAATGAAAGAGACGAGAGAATTAGGGTTTGGGATTAAAAGATCCCACTTTTTTCGTCTGGTCTGGGTAGAGACCAAAGATCTTTAGCGACTGATCTTGGGTGATAGATGAATTATCTTTTCAATTGTTATATTTTATACATATAGATTTATTTTATACATATTAATTAATTAATAATATCTGGTTTTTGAATAAACAAAGTTTGGATTTGATTTGGAGTTGAATCTTAAAACATATGAATGGGTGTAATTTTCACCAGGAAAAAAAAAGGTTTGTGATGAAGTTTCTAGTTTTTTTTTAGTGGAAATTTTATTTTTTCAATGTATCAGCCCAGTATAAAAAATAATAATAATAAAAGAATAAAAAAATTGTCCCCCTGGTCCGCCCTGTCCCAGTTAGAACAGATAAATATTATTATTCAACCAAAACCAAATTGAATTGTTTTCTTTTTATTGAAACTGGAAATATGGTTTATATAGCCAAAGCCTAACAACCACGTGCACCTTACATGCAGAAATATCTGGGCACTTCCTAAGAAATAGATAACAGAAGCAGTAATGCAAAATAGAAATGACCGTGCACAACAAAAAGGTAAACTTGAAGAGAGAAATCTTCTCTACAGCTTCATGGTCTTATTCTCCAACCCCACGTGCTCTCTCATCCTTCACCCATCAAATTAAAGTAAAAAAATTTATATGCTTAAATACAATTTCGTCAAGACATTTTCTTTAGTAGACTAGGATTGTAACCACGGGGACATCCTCGCATCTCAGCCAAATAACTTTAACCCGAGCCACTGTTGGTTTCGGTATCAATGTTCGTAACAACTCAGTAAAAGTGACAGTAAAACTCGAAGGTTTGAGGAAAAAAAGAGTAATGGTTCAAGTAAAAGAGGACCATGTGACGATTTCAGTGCATACTAGCGTCCAGTCGTATGAAAATCTTCGTACATTTAAACAAGACCTCGAGTTAGTTAAAAAAAATTTCGTCCAATTCTCTTATAGGCCTTTTAACAATGACAGATGAGTAGCACAAACATTTAAATTGTCTAATAAAACCAAAGCAATTCATAATCAAGATCTGCCAAGAACAAATGCCGCAATAAAGTTTGGCATTCAATCGATCCAAACAGAAAAGGTTGGATAAGAATAGTAAAAAATGCAAGATGATAGACTACGTTATTCTTCTCGCAGAAAACAAAGCAACACCACCAACCAACTTTACACATAAGCATAACAATGTCTCGAAAAATTAACTCACAGGAATCAAAGTAACAATCATCACATCCAACTTCAAAATGAAAGCATAACAATGTCTTGGACATTTAATCCGAATGGGTCCAACAAAAACCATTTCTTTAAGATCAATAATCGGTTAATATCTATAACTCTTGCTCGTTATGGAGCGATCGTTCTTCAAGAGATATCCACATCTTATATGCATTGTCCATTCCGTCAAGCATACCCTGCACCTCTCCCATAACGATTCAAAGACTTAATGATGTTCGAAGACCACATCATAAACCCATGAATTTTTTCTACTCTTGCTTGTAGCTTTTCCTGCTCAAGTTGATGTATCAAGCCAAGACTTCAAACAAGTGACATCAGTTCTTGTCACCATCACAAAAAATTGAAGGGCTAAGATCATCAATTGAGACAAGGCTTGAACATTGATGGAATACAAGAACGAGCAAAAAGTTCAGCTCAATAGTAAATGCAGTAAACTAAAAAGCAACTAAAATTTACATTTCCAAAGGAATTCAAGACATTATGTATCCAACAGATCAAATCAAAAGCTATTCAAGTCTCAAGTACTCGTCTAGATTTAGCAATTACCCAAGTCACATATCATCATTGCGCTAAGAATTTGACATTATCATAATGTAATAAACTACAACACAAAGATTCAGTACTACAATCTGAGAATTAACAAGATTTTCGGCACATGCTACATGAATGTTTATGCAGAAGTCTCGAAGATCCCACTTGCCCATAAATCAAACTTCCTGCAACAGATCCTAATACTAAAGAGTTTTACCTCTATATTCCTCACTTTAGCTTGCAATTGTCAAACCTAAAATTTACTCCTCTCTTGTCAATGAAGGACTCTTTTAACTTTCAGTCTGAGGCTGTTGTGGCAGAGGTGGCACACCTTGAACATTTGTGGTTGCATTTACGTCCAATGATGCCAGTGTTTCTAGCTCTTCTAATGCACTTATTGCAGTTGCATTGTTTAAAAATGGTTTTATCACACTCACTATTGGCTTGATTTTTGATTGCTGAAAGTCAATTTGAGAACATTGATTTATCAGTGCATCAACACCAACTCCATTACAGGAGAAATCTGGAAAGAAAATAAACCACCACAATGCTTATGCTGCTTACCAAATGTTCAAGTTTGCCTTTAAGATCTTTATAGGCCACTTGCTGTTGGGAGTTGGGAGCCTGAGTCACTGTATATGATGCATCCTAGCAACCAAAGACAAGCCATAGAAAAATATGAACTAGCTCAATAAAAATATCATTGCACCTAAAATTATTATCGATTGCAACTATATATGGTTTGTGAATGCTTGATTCAGATAAACAAATTGGGGATCTGGGCAGGGGCGGAAGAACACTTCACGTTGGTAATTAGCTCCAAATTTCTCCACTGTACATGCCCTTAGCTAACTAGAAGAAGATAGAAGTATGACCCTCACCACTGGAATACTTTTTATTACATTACGGCCAAATATTTTAGGCAATCAGAGAATCAGGAGGAGGAACAGTCATTATCTAGTCAAAACTATTAAGAAAGCACTTGTTACAACTTACTACAAAATCAAGCGTGCGTCTTCTAGAATAAATACTATGACCATATTATAGAGTGTGCACACTCGAATAGAATTATCTTTTAAGCTTAACCAATGATAATTATATTCTTTTTCCAAATAGAAGCAAATTTTGTTTATAAATAAAAAATAACAAACTGACTACCATGATATGGTGATAATAACGATGACAGTGACAGCAAATGAGGAGAAATTTTCATTTAAATAAAAGAACTTGTTACAAACTTTAGAATAAAACACAAAATACTATCATTTGAATTCAAGGGAAGATTTATTGATTTTCTAGTATTTTAATTGACTTTTTCTTTCCATATATTTTTTACTATTTAAGTTTGGAATATTTAATTTTCATTATTTTGGTACATTTCCATTTGTTGCTAGGAATAAGTATACGAAAAAACTAGTATTTTTGAATAATGTTGATAACTGATTTATGATATTGAGTTATATTTAAATTATTCTCCTTTTTTCTTCCAAATTCTTAATTCTTCTCTTGTCCTTGCTTCTCCTTTCTCTCTCTTTGTCCTGCATCAACTGATACCAGAATCGCCCCGTCCTTCTGACAGATTTCATCTCAAACATATAATTCTCGACACTGTTTGTTTTTTACACTCATATGTTCCCTGCAATCTTATTTATAACCAAGGCTATCATACAGCAGTCTTTATCTCAGGCACTTGGTTGAACAGTTTTCCAATGTTAGTCATAAAATTAAAAAATTAAAAAATAATTGAAATGTATTGACACTTCAAAGTCAAAAATTGTAATTCAACCACTAAAAAGATACATGGCAAACAATCATCAAGAAACAAGAGTAACACAGTTATCAAGTGTAATATTAGATGTATAATTATGCTGAGAACATTTGTAGGATAACATGAATTACATCCCAGCATTTATGTAATATATGCTGCCTTCATCTAACATTCACGATCATGATTAAAGCATCATGTCTCCATGATTGACATAAACCAAGACACTGAAACAGTATACATTAGTTAATCCAAATATTTATGCAAGTACGCAAATAAGTTTGATTATTATTTAATATGTCCTAAGCAAATTATTTCCAGTGTTTTCAAATTTTTCAACATTGCTGTTTTATGCATGTCATCTCCAGAATTTGATTCCTATACATAAACGAAGAGAATGCTAAGAAGATGGCTGTATTACTTTGGCTAAAACTGCAACCTTGAGGGCCTAGCCAAAAATGAGATTCACAGAGTTGTCTACAACTCCTGGATGTATGACACTATGATTATGTCGCTCAAAAACTATAATTTACTTTTTACAATAATTTAAAGTAAGATAGTAATTGCAGATTAGGGCCACAGTCCGCAGTACAGCAGCATAGGGAAAATAGTTTACACGAAAACAAGAATTATAATACCCCCAAATCCTTTATAGCTGGTAATTATGAAAATTAGGACCTTAATGAAAGAGGATGAAAGTTAGGGGATAAAAGAGTACCCTACCGTTCAGCAAATTAATTCCTTCAGTTTCCAATTTTAATATTATTATTATTTTTTAAACTCTCTCTTAACTTTTTTCTTGACCTTCTCAAAAAGGCTTAAGACTATAATTAAAAAGATTTTCATCATGTTTAAAATGGCTAAACAAACTCCTAAAATCGGGATACAAAATAACTAGCTTAACTCAGAGAATTGCTTTATCTTTTTAATTATGGAATCCAGAATAAATACGTTGTATGTTAGAACGTTTTTCCTACTTTAAAATACGGAAAATTCAATTTATGAATATGATATGAGTCCTATATTAAGTTCAAGAGATGGAAATTTCAATTTATGAATATGAATATGAATATGACATTATAGGCTTGTCCATAGAGGTGGCAATGGGCCAAGCCGGCTCAGCCCTTAAACACACGAGCTCGTGCTCGATTTTTTATTTTTTGAAAAATTTCAACATTTTTCTTCACATTTTTTACGAGCCCATGAGCCAACTTTTGGCTTGTGGGCACGGCCCACGAGTAGCTCACGAGCTTGATGAGCCAAGCCCTGCTCGGCTCATTGAATCCCACCCTTGCTCAACTCGTGCTCGGGCTCGTCAAATCCGTCGACAAGCCGAGCTTTAACGAGCCAACCGGCCCGTTTGACATCCCTACTTGTCCATCTTAGTTTTTCTTATCTTATTTAAATAAAATTATTTTTTCTTTAAGAGCAAGAACCCTTGACTATTTTCGACATGAGATTTGTTTGTTATCTATCACAAGCAAGCATATTTTTCTCCCAATTCATATAAAGAGTCAAATCTATAGTTTGGAAGAAGAATTGTGCTTCTTATTTTTATTCAAGAATGACGATTACAATTAATTAGAAGGTAAAAGGCCATCGATTTAGGAAGGCCATAAAATCAGAAAATAAAATGGCATATCTCTAGGCTACAGATCAGAAAACATATAGGATTTCCTAGTTTTACTCCCTAGAAATCCGACACCCCCCCTCAAGTTGGAGTGTAGATATCTATCATGCCCAACTTGCTTATACAAAGTTCAAAACTAGGTTTGAAAAGTCCTTTGGTGAAGATATCGGTTGTTTGTTGAGTAGTGGGAATAAACGGCATGCAAATAGTTCCACTATCAATCTTCTCTTTTATGAAATGTCTGTCAATCTCTACATGCTTCGTGCGATCATGTTGTACTGGATTTTGAGCAATACTTATGACAGCTTTGTTGTCACAATATAACTTCATTGGCATGTTCACTGGCATCCGTAGATCTTCAAGAATTTTCTTCAGCCATAGCATCTCACAAACCCCGTTAGCCATAGCCCTATATTCTGCCTCGGCACTACTCCTTGCAACCACATTCTATTTTTTGCTTCGCCATGTGATCATATTTTCCCAAACATAAGTACAGTATCCTGTTGTATATCTCTAATCAATAACTGAGCCTGCCCAGTCTGCATCAGTGTAAGCCTCTATGTTCTACTGTGTGGTATTCTGGAAGAGTAACCCCTTCCCTGGTGTACCTTTCAAGTATCTAAGAATTCGATAAGCTGCTTCAAGATGTTTTGCGTAGGATGAGTGCATAAACTGGCTTACCAAACTCACAGCAAAGGCAATATCTGATCGTGTATGTGATAAGTAGATTAACTTTCCCACCAACTTTTGATACCGAGTTGCATTTACTAGATCACCTTCCTTGTTATCACCCAGTTTTTAATCGGGATCGATTGGAGTGTCTGCCGGCCTACAACCACTCATCCCAGTTTCTTTGAAAAGGTCAAGGACATACTTCCGTTGGGAGATAGCAATTCCTCTCTTTGACCGAGCAACCTCCATTCCAAGGAAATATCTCAGAGATCCTAAGTCCTTGATCTCAAATGTTGATGAGAGGGAAGTCTTCAATCGGTTCATCTCAAGTACATCATCTCCAGTGAGAATTATATCGTCTACATACACAATCAGTATTGCTATCTTCCCATCGTGTGAATGTCTTATAAACATCGTATGATCACCTTGTCCTTGAGTATACCCCTGACTTTTAACAAATTGAGAGAATTTTTCAAACCAGGCTCTTGGTGATTGTTTTAATCCATATAGGGACTTCTTCAGTTTACATACCTTTGTGCCAAACTTTTCACAGAATCCTGGGGGTGCATTCATGTACACTTCTTCCTCTAGGTCGCTTAAGGAATGCATTTTTTACGTCCAATTGTTGCAGAGGCCAATCACGATTAGCTGCAAGTGACAAAAGAACTCTTACCAAGTTTAGCTTTGCGACTGGTGCAAATGTCTCTAAGTAATCAATACCATAGGTTTGAGTGAATCCCTTAGCAACCAATCGAGCTTTATATCGTTCTAGAGAGCCATCAGATTTATACTTGATTGTAAACACCCATTTGTATCCTACAGTTATCTTTCCTCTTGGTAGATCAACTACCTCCCACGTGCCATTTTTTTCAAGAGCTTTCATCTCCTCAAAGACCGCCTCTTTGAACTTTCAAAGCATCTTGCACAGTATTAGGAATCTCCATACAAGACAATTGTGAGATAAAAGCACGAAATACAGGCGAGAGATTTTTATATGACACATAATTGGACAATAGATGTTGGGTACAAGACCTCACACCCTTTCGGACTGCAATGGGAAGTTCAGAATCACCTATCTCAGGATAGGAATCAGACTTGGAGGGTTCAGAATTAGAAGATGAATTGAGTTGAACATGAGGTAAAGGTTCGGTGAGGACATTACCTAGAGGGTTTACGGATTCTAGGCAGTGCAAAGGATTGGAGGACCCTTTCTTTTGAGTTGTCCTTTGTCGCGAGTAGACAATGTCAAATGTTTTCCTTGTTGTTCTTTCATTGGGGACATCATGAGTTGTCACTCTAGGAGGCCCTCCCTTTTCAATATCCAATAAACTTGACTATCCAATAAACTTGACTAACTTGGCATAATGACGCTTGGGTTTTCAGGTTGAACTCCCTTTTCAGTATCCAAGAAACTTGACTCACTTGGCATAATGACGCTAGGGTTTTCAGGTTGAATGATCAAGGTTGGAGAAGGATCATTTTACAGTTCTGTAATTTGGAAAAAATCATGGAAAATAGTTGCTGAATCTTCTTTGTTTTGGTTCCCCCCTGAAGATGAGGTGTGAAATAGGGTTGTAATTC